TCTGTCCCTGGATCTCATGAGGAGGCTGAAGGTCCCCAGCCTGAGCCGGCTGCCTCCAGCTGGCCCCTTCTTGGTGTGTGTCTTATCTCCCTAGGTTCTGATGGAGACGAGGGGCTTTATGTTGTCTGCCCTTGCTGGACTTTACAGTGTTGGAACTGATGCCTTGGTCTCTATAGTCAGCAGACTCCCCAGGTTCCCGAGCTGAAGCAGGAGCTCTGAGTCTATTCCCCACAGGTAGCAGATAAAGGGTGGGCAGCAGAGGACAGGGGCAGTAGAGGCAAGGGAGCCACAGATCCCTAAGTCCTTGGTCCACACATCTTCTTCAGAGCATAGCCACCTAGTCCTCCTGTCTTCCTGTTTCATCTAGTTAGCCCCCCCCCCCCCCGCCAACATCCTTACTGTCAGTCTAGGGCTTTAGACACAGACTTTCACATTCCAAGCTCCTCTTCTAGGCTTGACCTTGGAATGCCTCCCCAGTGACACAGGAACAATGTGGCCCTTTCCAAAGCTCCTCTTCTGGGAATTTGATGTTAGCAACACCACGTGATTGGTTGAGTCTTCCCCTCCCATGAGCATATTTACCCTTTACCTGCTGCTCTTATTTTGCCATGAGATGATAGGAGGCCCGAATAGTTGTGAGACTTGTTGAAGGTTGCACAGCCTGTAAGCCGCACAGCCGAGATCTGTATCTGTAAACTGACTGTCTCCAGAGCCGACTGTTAGGGCTGTGAAATGACAGATTTGTCTCGGTTCGAGTCCCATTGTCCTGCCCATCTGCTTACTTCTGGTGCAATCTGTGCACTGGAGACAGAACGCCCTTCTCTGCACCCATCCCTGTCCATCTCTACTCTCTGGGATGTTTCTTGATGGTTGGGATTGCAGACCTCCACATGACCCTCATCTGGGCAAGAGGCAGGGAAGCAAAGCTGGAGGAGGCTCCTGAGTCTGCACACTGGGTCTGAGAGGTCTCACCTGAGATGACCCACCCAGCTTAGCATCCTGACAGCTGCTCTGCTGCAGACAGAGTTTCCCTGCTCTAATGTTCAGCACCCTTGCCCATAGGAGAACAGCCATGTGACCAGCATTCACAGCATTCCATGTGATTCCCTCATGCCCATTTGGTTCAGGTGTGGAAGTATCAGATAAGCCTGAAGACACAGTGGTTTGGGAAGTACTCCTGTATATGTGTTGCTTTTATTGGTTAATGAATAAAGAAGCTATTTGAGCCTGTGATAGGGCAGAATAGAGCTAGGCAGGAAAACTAAACTGAATGCTGGGAAAAAAGAAGGCAGAGTCAGTAAAATGCCATGTAGCTGCTGCCGAAGGAGATGGTTGCCTGGGAATTTTACTAGTAAACCACGAGTCTTCTGGTAAACTATAAAATAATAGAGATATGTTAATTTAAGATGTAAGAACTAGCTAGAAATACACTTAAGCTATTGGCCAAACAATATTGCAATTGATATAGTTTCTGTGTGATTATTTTGGGTCTGGGCAGCTGGAAACAAAAGAACAGCCTCTGCCAACAGAATGGCACACCTGCATGGAACAAGAATTTCCATGTAAAGTCAGAAAGCTTTTTTTCACAAAGGCTTCTAGACCCACAAAAATAGGAGCCAAGTGCAGTGCTTTTGGTAACAGCATTTTTTCAGATAGGCTATGTTTGCTGGCAGTGAACAGGAGAGCTGCAGCCCCTTTAAGAGAAGGCTTACAGACTCAGCATAAGAAACTGCAGCTTCCTGGTCATACTGGCTTCATGAACTCTGACTCTTTCAGGAGACCAAGCTCTTAAATGGGGTTTGTGAGCAGCATGCTACTAGTTGCTTAATGGTGACATAGACCTGCTGTGACCCTGGAGCTGGGGCAGTGTGCATGGCTCTCAGAGGCAGTGAAGATGCCTTCACCATGTTGGACTGGGTGGAGCCAAAAGGCAGGACTGAGGAGTTGGTCCAGCCATGCCCACTTAGCATTTAAAAAAAAGCATTCCTGGTCAGAAAATAATTACAGATATGCAATAAAGACAGATTGCAAAAAATCAGATGAAAAAGGTCTCCAAATGGGTCACAGTGTTAGATAGATGTAAGTAGGCTTGGGAGAGAAAAGAAAAAGAGATAATTTCATGTTATCTTAGGTAATATTATGCCCTCCTGGGGTCTTTGATGGAGTTGAAAAACAGATAGTTATAATTATAGTTTTCCTTAGTTATGATAAAAGATAAGGTAGATATAAAAATTGTAACTATAATTCTTGCTTGATAACTGTTTTGTGTATGTAATTTTACTATGTTAAAGTTAAAATCTTTCTCTTTATTTAGACAGAAAAGGGGAGATGATGTGGGAAGTCCTTCTGTATATATGTTGCTTTTATTGGTTAATGAATAAAAAAGCTGCCTGGCCTATGACAGGGCAGAATAGAGGTAGGTGGGGAAAACTACACTGAGTTCTGGGAGTAAGAAGGCAGAGTCAATGAGATGCCATGTAGCCAATGAAGGAGACAGATGCCCAGAAACTTTACTGATAAACCATAAGCTTCATGATAAACTATAAAATAATAGAAATGGGTTAATTTAAGATATAAGAGCTATCTATAAATATAATTAATCTATTGGTCAAACAGTATTGCATCTAATATAGTTTCTGTGTGATTATTTTGGGACTGAGCAGCCGGGAACAAACAAGTGGTCTCTGGCTACAGCAGAGACCTGTATTTCTCCAAAAACGCAGCTGTCACTTTGTGAACTTTGTCTCATGGTTCCCATTCCCCCTGTCCTGATGTCCTTTTCTGTCCACTGGCTGTGGTCTGGAGCTGGGCACCAGCTTGTCTCTCACTTGCCAACCCTGAGGTGGGCATTCTATGGCTGACGGCCTCACCTGAAATGTAAGCTAACCTTGCCGTACACATTCCTACTGCTCTCCACATTTCTCTTCCCCTTTCAGCTCTGTGAAGGGCTGTCCTGGCTTTGGGCTATCCCTGCTGCAATGCTCAATCCTGTCAGAAAGGCTGCATTCCTTCATTAAGGTGCCAGCTTCCTGTGGGGAGAATGGGGAGAGTGGCCCACACAGGAATACTGACCGAGCTCATTTCAGTGATGGAAAACAGCTATGGTCCTAGCTGCGTTCCTGGGGTGCCCAGCCCCAGGGATTGGGTTCAGATCAGATCCTGTTCTGCTGCCTCTAGTGATGCCTCTGTCCTCAGTTTCTTCAGAGAAGCCTGGGAAGTTGTCTGGAGTCACAGGGTTGCTGGAGTTGGTGGAGGTTCTGGGAACTGCACTCAAATATGAGCCACAATCTTCACCTTGCAGACACTCTCATCATTAGGTATGTGTGTTACCTTGAATAGTCGACCAAAAAGAAACCAGATGGTCAGAGCAGCTTAAAAATATCTCCCAGGACCCCACCCCATTCCACCCTGCCCCACCCATAATATCCCTGAGACTCCAAGCCCCCCAATCTTGTCGTGTTGTGTGTGTATGTGGTATATATGGTGTGGGGGGTATGGTGTGTATGTGTGTGTGTGTGTGTGTGTGTGTCTGTGTGTGTGTATGTGGTATATATGGTGTGGGGGGGTATGGTGTGTGTGTGTGTGGTGTATGTGGGGTGTGTGCGTATGATGTATATGATGGTGTATTTGTCAGGTATGGTGTGTGTATGTGGTGAGTGTGTGTGTTGTATGTGGTTGCTGTAGATCCCAGGTGACAGTCCTTTAGGTAGTTCTGTTTACTCCATGGTGTTCAAGGATGCCTTCTCCATTGCTACATTTATATTAATGTCCATCTAATGACATCAAAGCAACATACTGTGATCTTGCTAATCGTCCCAATGCTGGGTACAGCTTCAGACTTTCAGCTTCTCATCTCATTGGCCATACTTGCCCTGGGCAAGCTCATGTTCAAGGCCCTGCTTTGCCTCTGGTCTATCCCCTGTGGAATTAATTTCCAGAAGAGAGATTCTGGATGTAGCTAGATGATTCTTTATTTTGGGGAGTCTGGTGCTTTGTGGAATATAACATCATCTGGCCTGCTGCGTGTCACAGTGTACTCCAAGGCAAGTCTCTCTCCAGACTTAACCTAAAGTCCCCAGGAACCAACTCACCTTCCGTCAACAAGCTTGGTGTTAAAGGAAAAACTGAAAAACGGATGCTCTGTGGGCATCAGAGTTATTCCAAAGAGTCAAGACGAAATTGAGTATGGCAGTACTTGACAGTACTGAGCTCAGTGACTGAGTACCACAAAGGGAGTCAGGAACACTAAGCTGGAGTTCCAGCACCTGTGCTAAGTGGCCTCAGCCCCTCAGCTATGAAGTGAGATGACTATCGTGACTCACCTGCTAGACTCAAACAGAAAGTGGCCTGTAAATGCCTGCCAGGTTTGTCACTCTGCAGGGGGTGGGGGGGAGCACTGGGGAATCCTACTTTGTATAGTATCTTAATCACTGTTCTATTGCCGTGAACACCATGACTAAGGGAACTCTTGCATGAAGTTCCAGGGGGCTGGTCCATGACTGGCATAGCCTGTCATAGCCTGGCATGGCTGGAACTTCCCTGAGAGCAGAAGATACAGACCCAACCAGCAGAGCCTTCTCTCTGCTGTCCCATACTTTTTGCACCAGGTCCATCTTTCATGCTCAGCTCCCCCAGGAGCCTCTGGCCCATCTTGGTTGACTCATTTACTGGTCCATTGAAGATGGCTGAGATCTCAGGGTGATGGTGATATAAATCCAAGCATGTCTCTAGACACATACACTCACAAGGAACAATGCCCTACATGGATGACCTAGCTTTGTATGCCTGGAGCATGCCAGGAGGGTCCTCTATATATTCTATTCCCTCTTGTGTAGAACATGTTGTACCTGCCTGGGACCCCCATCTGCAGCGAGAGCCTGGAAGGATTTGCAATGAGCAATCCTATAGGCTCTGCTCAGGGTGTCCCCTCATGCCTGGAACTCTGGAGTGGGGTGGGGTTGTTACTCGAGTCCAATGGGTTCTGTGGTCTATGTTCGCAGGAGAAGTATGTGGAGGAGCTGGCCGCTGTAAGGCAAACGCTGCAGGCAGACCTGGAGACGTCCATCCGACGCATCGCAGACCTGCAGGCAGCGCTAGAAGAGGTGGCATCTAGCGATAGTGATACCGAAAGGTAACTGGGGGTGGCTGGGTCAGAGGTGGGGCCCTGCAGAGCTCTGCAGTTCCTAGAAGTCCCAGACTGCATCTTCTAAGGTCCCAGAATGTCTGAGGACTGCAGGCATAGCTGATTTGTTTGGACTGAGAGAAGAGAGGTGATGTCCTTGTCACCCGTGAAACATGGGACCTGGCTTGTTGGACATGAGTGAGGCGGATGGAGAAGCTGCTTGTCCAGTCTAGGCCTGTGCTCATCTCGTTCTTGCTGCTGTGACACAGCTGAATCGGCCACTTCAGTGTGGGCTCAGGGGCTACAGTCCATCTTGGCGGGAAGGAGTGGTGGCCTATTCCCCTGCTGTCCCTGCCCTCCCAGGGTGTTTATCCTGCCAGCACTATGCCCATTCCCGCATTGCTCCTGCCCCATTGCAGCCTCTATGGTGCAGCCTGTGGCATAGGCTTGTGGTAAGCAGCCTGAAGGTGTGGCTCTCTCCTGATGGCCCTGCTGCCTCTGTCCCCACCTACAGGAGCACGCTGAGAGCTGGCCAGTCCCAATCCATTTGCTCTTCTTTGCTATTGCAGACCTTGGGGAGAAAGTCTTTCTATTCCAAGGACCCTGGCTTCCAGGACATTCCAAGTCACATGATACATTAGCTCTGTGTAGAGTCAGAACCCAGCTTAAGAAGTTTTGTAAACCTCTTTTCATTAAAGGAAAATTTTGACTTTGAAAAATGTTCTTACTATGCAGCCCTGGCTAGCCTAGAACTTACCATGTGGACCAGGCTGCCTTTGAACTCACAGAGATCCCTCAGCCTCTGCCTCCTGAGTACCACCACTCCTGCAGTTAGGGTTCAAGCCTGGCAGGTGAGGCAAGGCAGACAGAGGGTTACGGGTCAACCATGATTTCTTTTCATGGGAAGAGCCAGATATCAGGGTTTGAGATGAGCACCATGCCTGGAGCCTGGGTTTGTTGAATGACTAAGGGATGGAGAACAGTTCAGGAATGGGACTATCTTCACATAGCCTGCATCCTGGGGTGTGCGTATAAATGGTTAGATAAATTCACACAAATCCAGAAACAGAAGCATCGCCTGGCTCTGTGGGAAATTGAAAAGGCCTCTGATAGCAGGTGACCGGTGGGGGAAGTGGCCCCAGCTCACTAAGGAGGAGGCAGTATAGACCCAGTAGAGGAGATTTGGAGGAAGCATAAACAAGGACCAAGAGAGGAATGTTCTAGAAAGCTCCAGCGCCTTTCATTAGCTTCTTTCTTAAGGTCATAGGCGTGACCTCTTGTGGAAGGCAGTGTGTCAGCTAGGAAGACACAGGGCATACAGCCTGGCGTGTTCACATTCTGGATCAGAAGCTGAGGTCACCTTTGAGGGTGACACAGCTCCAAGACTCTGCCTTATTTCCAGGGTCCCCAGAGCAGTGCCACCATCTGAGCACAATGATGCATCCCACTGCAGGATCGTGCCATATTCACATCCCGGAGGAGGGCTTTCAGGCCAGAGGCTCGGTTTTTCACCCTTTTCCATTCTTCGTCTTCCCCCTTCCCTCTCCCTCTTTCTTCTCTCATGACACTTTGCTGAAGCCCACTGACTCTCAGTTCTCCAGATAGCGGGAAGCAAAAGACACCCACAGAAGAGTCCTGGCTTGTTCCAACAAGTCGATGGATGCTCAGATCTGCTGTTCGCCACTGTCTTGGTTAGGGTTTCTATTGCTGGCCATCACCATGACCAGAATCAACTTGGTGAGGAGATGGTTCATTTCAGCTCATTTCTACATTACAGTCCAACATCAAAGAAAGTCAGACCAGGAACTTGAGGCAGGAACCCAGAGGCAAGAACTGAAGCTGACACCATGGAGGAATGCTGTTTACTGACTTGCTCCTCATCGCTTGCTCAAGCTGTTTTCTTATGACATCCAGGACCGCTTGTCTAGGGGCGCCTCCATCTACAATCATTAGTCAAGAAAACGCCCTATAGACTCATCTATGGGCCACTCCAAAGGAGGTGCTTTTTTTCATTGAGGTTCCTCTTCCAAGACAACTCTAATTTGTGTCAAGCCGACAGCAAAATAATCAGGACAACCCAGAAGGAACAGCCCTGACTATCGAAGACAAAGAGAAGAATGCATTGTACTGTTATAGGTCTGCTGCACAGAACAGGGTTCTCAGTTGCTGCCTGGTGCCAGCACAGTGCCCATGTCAGAAGCACGAAGCTGTATGCTGTACCTGCTTCTCTTGGATAAGAGGTTCAGATTGGAGCTTGAAGGATTGGTCCTAGATACTTCTTTATGAATTCTCAATTAGGGTTCAGATCACTGGGGTGGGGAAGGAAGAGAGAGGTGGGAAAAGTCAAGGGAGAGAGAAAACCTAACTCTCCAAACTGCCAGATGAGAGTCTTTGAGTGACTCGTTCACATTATGCCAAATCACAATTCCATAATTCACATGGAATTAGATCTTAATGAAGCAGGCCTTACAGGCTGGGAGCAGAGATAGCTCCCAGATGCGCTCAGAAAGCCGGGCAGCACACAGTGGTGCTTAAGCCTGTGTGACTCTGCACCAGGCCTGGCATTGTCAGCTAAACTGTGGCATCAGCCTCCTCAGACTAATGGGGGAAATGTTGTCAGAGTGTCCCGCAGGCTTGGAAGATGCTCATTAGTCATGCAAGGAGTGCATTGGCTGACAGGCGACCCCATCTATTCCTGGTCCCCGAATCTGCAGCTGCTCTGCCTGTTGCCTTGCCTGGGGACACGGTAGGATGCGGAGGGGTTCGCATGTTACCCTTGACTTCAGAGTCACGGAGCCAAGTGTGTCAGTTCCTGCTGGGCCCATCTGAGATGGACACTCTGGGAGTGAGCAAGCATGTCCTGGGAGGCTGGGGAGACCGGAAGCAGGACACTCCTCAACTCACACATCCTAATAACCAGTCTGACATCAGGCTGTGGAAGGGATAAGGGCAGATATGGATGGAACCAGAAACCGGTCTCCTGATGATATATTGTGAGTCACCTACTCACTGGTAAGCCCTTGCCCTGGCCAGAATATGAAGTCTCCCACTGTATGAGAGGACAGTGCTCTCCCCATGGCTCTTTCCTTATAGCTGCCCCCATGAATGATTGAACATGACCTGACCTGGAAGAACAGCTTGAGTGAGCTCTCCACTTATCTAAGAAGGCTGACACTCAGTTAGAGTCACACTGCGAGTCCCTGGGCCCTGTGGTATGTGTTTAAACAGTGCTGTGCAGGCTGCCTGGCTTTCTAAGCATGATTGTATCCAACACATAGCTGATAAGATAGATTCCCAGAGAGCCAAAGCTCCCACAATTCACTGTGTCTATTTCCAACAGCGCAGGAACTGGTGACGATGATGCCGTGTGCCCTTACTGGCAGACAATTGTTACTGTTTGGCACTCCCTGATAGGAATCTCTGGGCTCCTACCACTATCTTTCCCAAATTAAAGATAAGGAAACTGAGTCTCACAGGTGTCTAAATGATACATGTGTTAAGTGATGAAGCCATGCCTTGGTTTTGAGGCTGACCTTACTGGCAGCTAAAGGTGGCTTTGTTATCACATAGGACATGCCGTATATCCTTTATCTCATATCAAGGTCTCTGTTCTCATCTGGGCTGCCATGATGGTGAGCTTCTGTCAGTCACTGACGTAGAGCAAATGAATCCAGGCCCTGCTTCCCAGGCTGTGTTTGCATTTAGACTGCGGCTGTCAGGCAAAGGTGCCCCGAAGGAATACATTTTAAGACATTTAATCAATTACCTTGATCCTCACCGATGCCTCTTTAAAAATTCTTGGCACGAGTTCCTTTTGGAAAACAACACTGACCAAGATGTCAGAAAGAACTGCCAACGCCAGCCAAGGGCTGGGGTTTGAGTCTTGCATGTGCTGCAAACCAGATCAGCACCACAGACAGCTCTTCCCACCCCCAGTTGCCCTTAATAGAGCATTACTAACTTAAATGTGGCACAGGCTTGGTGGTGGCTGTGGGGAGTAGGTTCAATGATGGTGGCTACAATTTTGTTTCTTGTGAGATGGATTCAGATCCATCACCTTCCCTCACACACACACAATGGTGGGCTACATGGTGCAGTCTTGAGGCATGGAAAACCCAGATCTCCCTGCTTGACTAGAAAATATCATGGACTTGGACTATCAGAGCAATCTGCCGGAGCATGAAGGTCAAACACATATGAAGGTGCTGTTAACAAAGCTGTGTGTGGAGCCACAGAGGGTGAAGCATCCAGGGTGGCCAAGAAGTGGGCCCAATAATTGCCAGTGGGTTAAAAGAGCAAGAGAAAGAGGAGGATGGCCACATAGAGGAGGCTGCAGCAAGTTAACCGCCCCAGTGGCCTGCAGCAGAGAGAAAATCAGGGGACAAACACCGTGCCCTCTCTGCTTTAGTGGCTGAGCCCATTGGGAAGTCATATAGTCAGGAAGCACATGGATGGGACTCACATACTCAATGGAGTCTATTACGACAGAGCATCACACAGCCAGTGTTGGCCAGTAGACATTACTGAAGCATGACAGCAGACAGTAGCCACGTCTCTACAGGAAAGAGTCCCTCCAGGAGACAGGTTCTGAACGCTGAGTCCCCACAGCAGCCCTCAGGGATCCAGACAGGATGAGTGTCAGCACCCATGCATGCTCTGTTGTCAGGTCGACTGTCCAGAGCTGCCCCAGTAAAGGATGGTGTCCAGTGGGTTCAAGTAGTATAGGTTCCAAACTGAGAATGAGCCCTCCCTGAGAGGGAAATGAGTCCTTGAGATTAGACATTCAGCAGTAGGTTCTGAGGACCATACTGCCCTATCTCCATGCAGTCCTGCACCAAAAAAAAATACAAACAAACAAAAACAAACAAACAAACAAAAAAAAACCTGTGCTGTTGCTGGGTCAGGAGATGAAGGCTTGCTTGCAGCAGCTGTGCTCTGTGTAGCGTGGAGGCAGTGATGGGCAAACCTTTACAGTAAAAGTAGGGAGGGGCCGAAAGACAGCACAATGCCCATAGTGCTTGCTGTACTTCTAAATAAAATAAAATAAAATAAAATAAAATGCCAGGGGGTGCTACATGCTTTGTGATACTAGCACTGGGGAGGCAGAGACAGGAGGCTCCTTGGGATTTGATGCCTGGGCAGTATTCTTGGTGAACTCCAGTCAATGGAAGACTCTGCCTCAAAAAACAAAGTGGATGGCTCATGAGGAAAGATAAAGCTGGCCTCAGAACACACACACACACATACACACACACATAGGTACTTGCACAACCACATCCAAATGCACTCTCTCTCTCTCTCTCTCTCTCTCTCTCTCTCTCTCTCTCTCTCTCACACACACACACACACACACTCATTCTCTCTCTCTTTTTCACACACACATTCAAATGTGCATGTTCTCTCTCTCTCTCACACACACACATTCAAATACACATGCTTTCTCTCTCACACATACACACTAACTCTCTTTCTCTCTCTCTTTTTCACACCACACATTCAAATGCACATGATCTCTCTCTCTCTCTCTCTCTCTCTCTCTCTCTCTCTCTCTCTCTCT